TTTTTTTACCAACATCGAGCCCCCCCTTCCTGCTGCAGCTGCCTCAAAAAGTAAATGGGGACACCGCACCCCACAAATAACCAGGCTATTTAAAACCCTGTCCCTCCTTCCCCCAGCTGCACATCCTCAGCCTCTCTGTCCCTGCAGCTGGAAAACGCAGGAGGGGGAAATTTGGATATGGACATGGATTTGGATATGAATATGAATAGGGGAAAGAAGGAAGGAAACGTGGAAGAAAAAAAGGGGATAGGACTCTGGATCACGGCAGAAAACGGGGAGCAGGGGGATGAGCACCTGCGGCAGCCGGCAAGGATTCAGAACAGCCGGCGGTGAGGATGGGAATAAAAGGAAAAGGGGGGATGTGGCCGCCTCTCCACGGGCATTGCTTCTTCCGAACCGCACGCCTCAGCAGCCTGGTGGGGCGTCTGGATGATTGTCTCACTCCCCCAGGGATGGGGCAGCTCAGGGGTACGAGCACAGCGCTCTCCCGCAGGACTCGTGCTCCCCTCTGCCAGGAGCCGCGAATCGCAGCTCCGCTACCGGCAAAGCCGGAGAGTCCTCCCCTATTAATGCCTCTATTAAAGCCCATTAATCCCTACATTTCCGCAGGGATTTTCTTCACGGGGCAGTGCGGTGAGGAGGTGCCGGCTGCCTGCAGAGCGCGATGGATGCTGCTCGCAAGCGCAAGGCTGGAGCATCCATCTCCCGGCACGCCGGGGATCCTGCTCGGCCCCGCGCAAAACCTCGTCTTTTGGGAATGGTTTTCATCCCTTCCCATGGCTGGGGCATCCCCGCTCAGCCACGGGAGAGTGGGGTGGCTGCAGGGCTGGGCCTGAGGTGACGCTGGCAGGGGATAAATGGGGTTTGAACGTTCCCACTCCCACTGCCCTGAAGTGTCCGGGCTCCCAGCGGGAGCCGCTGTCCTCCCCCGCGGTGGGCTGGGCTGTCCTACCTGGATGACTCTCATGTTGAGGCCGGTCTCCTGGGCCAGCTGCTCCCGGATGTGGCGAGTGGGTTTGGGGGTGGCGGCGAAAGCAGCTTTGAGGGTCTCCAGCTGCTTGGCTTTAATGGTGGTGCGGGGCCCCCTCCGCTTGGTGCCCGAGTTCTGCTCCTCGTTCTCGTTGTTGGTGGTCTCCTTGTCCGAGGAGGTCGAGTTGTCCGTTTCCTTGGTGTCGTCCTGCATGGGGTCCTGGAGATCCGGGGACAAACTCCTGTCTGTACATGAGGACACTGTAAAGGAGACCCAGAGAGGAAAGGGGGGGGTGGATGACTTAGGGGAGAGATTGACCCCCCCCTCTCCTCTGTCCTCCCCGGCCCGCCTGCCTTCCAGGAGAGGGGCTGGCGGGTGCTGGAGAGCCGCAAGGGGTGCAGAGGCCTCTGCCCCCCTGGTTCCCCTAAAGCATCGCCCCCCAACACCACGCGGAGCTCCGGGCGGGCGCCGCCCGCTCCAGCCCTGTGCACCGTGTCGTGCCGGCGGGGGGAGCAGGGCAGGGGGTGACCCCCGGGCCCACCGCTGCCCCCCACGCTCCCCCTCTCCTCCCCGTGCCGGGAAGCGGGATGCGCCGCTGGGAAAAACGCAGACCGCTCCCTGCGGAGGTTTTGGGAGTCCCCCCGGTCGCTGCCTGGAGCCTGGCTCACCCCCCGCCCCCAGGCACCGTGCTCCCCCCGGGGACCCTGCAGGCGGCACCCCCCCAGGCCAAGCTCTACTCGCCTCGCTCACAGCAGCGGCCCCACTGACTGGCGTGGCAGGATCCGGCCCCGGGTGCTGGACGGAGAGAGAGCCCACGGAAGGGGGTGAGCAGGGGCGCCCGGCATGGCTGGGACAGCAGGAGGGGGCCTGGCCCTGCTCTCCTGACGCAGAGACAGCTTCCAAGGAAGTCAAATGGGAGCTTTGCCTCTGGGTGAAAGGAGGCGAAGGATCAGGCCCACGGCGCGGGGGGACCGGGCACACTCGCAGGGGGGGCTCTGGGGAGTGAGGGGCTCCCTGGGCGGATGGGGGCTCCCCCCGACCCGCGGGAGCCGAGGCTGGAGCGGGGAGCTCATCCCACGCGTGTCCGCGTCCCACGTGGGGGTGTCACGGAGGCTGCCACCCGGTTCCAAGCCTTTCACCCCACATCACTCCCTCCCCCGGCGGATCAACCGGCTGCGGGGTGCAGCCCCTCACCCCACAGATCCAAACCTCCTGCCCGGCCGGAGCTGCCTCCGCCGGCAGGTACCGGCGGCTCGGGGCTTGTGCCGGCGCTCTCGGCGCTGCCCCTCGGGCCGGTGCCGGTGGCAGGGATTACCGGGGGCTCGGGCTGGCCGCGGGGTGCAGCCCCTCACCCCACAAATCCACACCTCCTGCCCGGCCGGAGGAACCGACGGCGGGAACGGAGCGGTGGGCGGGCTGAGCCGCTCGTACCTGAGTTGAGGCTGCCTTCCTTCAAACTGGGAGAGTTCAAATAATCCTCTTTGCAAACAAATTTGTTTTCGTCGATGATATAGAGTTCCTCGCCCGTGGACAGCTGCTTGTTGCAGACCATGCAGGTGAAACAGTTCAGGTGAAAGACTTTATTCCGGGCTTTCCGGACGAGGTCGCTGGGAGAGATCCCTTGGGAGCAGCCGGCGCATTTGGTACCAAACCTCCTGGGAAGGGGGAGAGAAGCAAGAGCTGGAGAGGGCAGAGACGGGCTGCGGCGGGGCTGGGTGTGCGCTGCTCCCGACCCCGCTCCTCCAACCCCACCTGGTCCTCCAGCCCGTCCCGATGGAAGATTGGGGGAGCAGGCGAACCGCACCTTTGGGGCGAGGATGAGGAGAGCCTTCATCCCTTCATCCCCGCGCAGCCCTGGCGCTGGGCTGCGGGCACAGAGCGAGTTTGGGGTGTCCCCACCCGCGGGGGACACGCACGAGAATCCTCGCCCGGATTTGGCTCCAGAAGGGACGCGCGGGAGGGGAGAGCGGCCGGGGGTCCCCTCCGCGCTCCGCGGGGCAGGATTTCGTTTCAGCCGGTGCCTCCCGGGAGGGGAACGCGGGGCTCCGGCCTGAAAATCCCGTGGGGAAAACGGGGCTGATCGCGGCCAGAGACGGAAAAAAGGAGCGGCGGGTGCGGGGATCGGAACAACGGGCGGGAGCTGCGCTCCCCAAAGCGTCCCGTAGTCCCAAGCCCCGCATCCGGTCCCCAGCCCGTCCCGCTCTCCCGAGGAATTTTTTCAGGTCGGGAAGAGTGCTTAGTAAATCTCTCTTCTTTCCCAGA